TTGCTGAATTTATGAATGCTTTCCAGTGGAGGGCTCCTGGAGGTACCAAACAAAAGCCATTGTGCACCAACTCCTGTTTTCCCCCTTCTTAACCATTTTTTTCCAGTAAGATCAAAGACAGAAGGAGCTGTGAGAAGACACAAGAGGATTACAAATGATTGTCTGCACCCCTTTAAAAATTCTGTGTTTCAGGGATGCCAGTTGCCAGATAAAGGATTCCTAATGTCCAGTGTTAATACATTGAATCCAGGTAGGGTGTCTACCTGCCCCATCTTACAGGCTGAGAGAGTGGGCATCAAAAGGACTAATGTGGTTCAGTGTAAGCAAGTGTAAAATGGGGTATAACATCTGGACTCCAAGCATAAACTGATGGGATTTGTGGTAAATGTGACTGACCAAGAATGAGATCTTGAGATTGTGGTGGACAGCTCAACAAAATTGTTGCCCCAGGGTCCTGCTGCTGTGAAAATGGTGATCTCAATGTTAGGGATAATTACGAAATGAAATGAAAACAAAATTGCTGTTATATCATACTGTGCTGTGGCATATGTTCAACCACACTTCGAATGTTGTATACAGCAAACTCCATTTTATTCCTGTAGTCAAGATGGTGCTATGATTTAATGGGTTTAAAATATGAACCCAAATTTGAGATGGATCATTTCCATTAAGGAAGCCACAGCTTTTTGCTTACAGGAGCTGAGCAGGGCTGTCAAAGACAGGACATTTGAGAGAGCTTTCATTCACAGCATTGCCATAAGTTGGAGAGGACTTGACAGCATGTGACACCAACAAATAAAATGTGAACATTTTAAGTGTTTTGATTTGGTTTAGCATGCCTAGAATCTGGTTTAAATCAACTCTCAGCCTTAAATATATCCAGTAGTGGGCTATAAAGCATCCCCTGTTTGGGTTCAGTTGAATAATGGAGTCTGCAGTGCTTGAAAAAAGTATGATTGACTCTCCAGAACTGGTCAAACAGGAGGCTTCAAACAGGTGAATAGCTTTTTGAGTAACCCCAAGACATGTAGCTTGAAATTTCAAAGGCATTAATAACAAAGTCAGGAAAACCTGTCATGTCTTCACATTTCAAATTCCCTCTGATGTTTGGAGAAGCAAAACAAGACATGCATTGGATCTCTTGGCTGAGAGCCAATGGACCACTTGCCATCCGCTTTATGTTTGTGTGTCCCATGTCTCTTCTCTAGAGGTAGCCGTCTTGTCCCTGCAGCAAGCCCCTGAAGTTGCCTGAATCTCTAAAGTATGGCCCCAAGGGACTGCAGCTGGAAGAGAATACTGATAAATGCTTATGTGCCACTTCACCCGCTCCATGTGCACATAAACTGCACATCAGTGATTTTTCTGCATATTTATGATTGTTGGCGCTATTTTGATTATTTTGGTGAAGGGACCAAATATTTTGAGATGACCTGGGATTAAATTCCACTCAATGTTAAATTAAATTCACTCCAGGCCCTATCTCTTACCCAGCTAAACCAAGTTAGAATTCTGGCTACAAGGGAAATGAAGCTTAATGATACAAAGTTGATTCCAAATAGAATATCTCTCCTCCCTTCCAAGCCAAAAAGAGCTGGGTCCACCTTCAGGGTGGTTCTTGCTGCATGTGGACCAACAGCCTGAAACATCTGATGCTTCCCAATTGCTGTACTCTCTTTGACTGCACTAATCTCTTCAGCCTGCTCATTAGAATTCCCATCAAACTTGAAATGGTCTAGCTTTCAGCAACTGCCTGGCTTATTTCTGGATGGACTGGCACTGTTATTTCAGTTGCAAATTCCAACTCCACCTCTCCCACATCTGAATCAGAATCTAGATCTGCAACCCTTGAAGGCTTTATTATAAGAGGAATAGACCCAGTCCCTACATCTGGTGACTGTGGCCCTGTTCCCTGCATCACAAATTCAGCAAATGTGGTTACCTGGGATTTTCATAACTACTCTACCTGGGTGTGGGCATTTGTACAAATTCAGGAATCCTGTCCTCCTGTAGATCTCCACTCCTACAATAGCCTGACTGGTGACTGCACACTCTGAACTAATTGGCTTTGCAGGAGGGGTTGTTAAAAATAGATTTACTCATCAAGTCAATGCTTCTGATGCTTGCTCTTTAGATCATTAGAAACCTGTAGTTGCTTATTAATCATGATCCTGAAATGACCTGAGGCTAAGAGGCCCTGTATTGAGTTCAAAGTTCTGGTTCCAAAAACAAGGCAGCAGGACTAACTTATAATAGCAGCATTCTAAGCACTGAAGATTCTTCCTTGCTGTCTATGAAAAAGTGAATTAGAACAGAAGGGGCCAATAGAGCCTCATTTGCATGCTAAAATATTGTTTCATTAACGTGCTATGTAGAACAGTGAATAGATAGTGTTGAAATACTAATGGGATTTTTATGTGAAAATTAATTAAATTTGATTTTCCACAAAGTTATCAGGTTGTTTCACTTTAGATGTGTTCCCACCCTCCGCATGCGCGCGCACATTCAGTGTATTAAGTAAAAACTGAAGTCAAATATTTTTGGTCTATTCAGTTAACTAATTACAACAGCAGATTTGGAAGAAGCTTTTAATATAGAACAACATTTCTCATTCCCTCCCTTTTGCTTCCCTCATCCATCACACTTTTATTTGTGGGTATGAGAAATTCAAGGAAGTCTTCCTTTAAAAAACAACAGTGTGACCCCAGGGGAGAATTGATTGGGTGATTATTAAATTGGATAAAGAGCCTTCCTTCTAACACAGTGATCCAAAATCATTATTCTGATGGCTTTTCATCTGAGCATATGAAATGAGTTTGTGGCCTCAGGTATTTGCAGAAAGGAAAAGTCATTTACAGTCAGTTCCCAAAATAGAAGAAACTTTGTTAACTAGCTTCTTTTGCTGAAGAAAGTTGGCTGTTCTTCTAAGGGGTTGCAAAGCTAAGATAGGGGTTACTGCTAGTCCTTCCCTTTTAGGGACAAATAATATTTTGGTCACCATGGGTTGTATCAAATGTGAGCCTGATTTAAGTTCCACTGTTTTCCATGACTGGATTCCTACAGTCATGGATGGGGAAATAAACCACAAGGGAAATAAGTCTCACGTGCCAGTTGGACATTGGAGGACTTGCACGGTTACTCTTGCCTGGGCAGCATTCCATGTTATGAGGGTGGTTTGCTGCCATGGTTAACAAGGTTGCCAGAACCCATGAGTTGTTATGGAGTTCTGGCATGTCGATAAACCTTCGTTGGCTGGGTTCACATGTCATGACGAGCAACCCTGCATGGTTTTCATGGTGCACTTTTTTTGCCTGGATGTATCTGTTTTCTCATCTCCAAACATGGGACTCTTTAATTAGATGGTTCACATGTGCTGTCCTTGAGCAGGAGGTTACTTGGAGTAGTATCTAATGTTTATTTATTTTATCTTAATATTTATATACCTCTTTATTCCCATAGTCTCTGGGCAGTTTACAAGAAATTAAAACCAACATGAGTAATATTGATTAAGACAATAAGTTAAATAAAACTGACATGAGAACTAATCTGGGAAGACCTGTAGTAAAAGATACATCTTTAAATCCCCTTCAAAGGTGGGAATTTGGGAAATTGGATGCATCTTTCCTGGCAGACTGTTCCACAGCTTAGGGGCAACTGCTGAAAAAGTCCTCCGGGTAGTTGTCTGCTTCTGTGAGATTAATGTCTTCAGAAGTTTATCCTCAGAGGACCTTAGCTGGCAAGGTGGAATGTATGGGCAAAGTGCTCCTGAAGGTGTTTTGGACCCAATCCAAAGGTAATTACCAACACCTTGTTATCTACCTGGAAACCAGTGTAAAGACTTTAAAAGAGGTGATATGTGGTCTCTACATGATGTCCCAGGGACCAGCCTGGCTGTGCTATTTTGTGGTAGTTGCAGTTTCTGGAGTAGGAACAAGGGTAGCCGTATGTAGAGTGCATTGCAGAAGCTGAGCCTAGAAGTTAGCAACACGTGCATTACTGTTTTCGGATCATTCTTCTCCAGGAAGAGACGCAGTTGGCAAATCAGCCCGAGCAGATAGCAGACACTCTTGGCAGCTTCTATCTGAACTGAGATCTGAAGGGCCAGGTCAAGTAGCACCCCCAAACTGCACACATGGTCTTTCAGGGGGAGTGTGACCCCATTTAGAACTAGTTGACACACCTCTAATCCTGGATTCAGGCCATTAACAGCAAGCACTTCCATTTTGTCTGCATTCAGCTTCATTTTGTTTTATCTCATCCAGTCCATTACCAGCTTCAGGCAGTCACATTCAGAGAGGAAATGTGGTTTCTAGAAGCAGCAGCAGATGGTGTTAAGGAGAAGTAGATCTGGTGTCACCAGCATACTGATAATATCCAGAGTCACTCCTACAAATGACCTCTCCCAATGGCTTCATGTGGTTTTCACACAGTACTGGAGACAAAATGGAGCCCTGTGTGAGAAGCAATGGTCTCCAAGCATCACCATCTGGAACCAACCTGGGAAGTAGGAATGGAACCACTACAAAGCAGTGCCTCCAGTTCCCAGTTCCTGCAGATTATTCAGGAAGATACTATGGTCAATAGTATCAAAGGCCACTGAGTGATCCAACAGACAACAGAGACATCAGGGTTTTTTTGCTGAAGAAAGTTGGTTGTTCTTCTAAGGGGATGCAAAACTGAGATACAGATTACTGCTAAGTCCTTCCTTTTCAGGAGCAATTCATATTTTGGCCACAATGGGTTGTATCAAATGTTAGTCTAATTTAAGTTATATTGATTTCAGTGACTAGATTCCTGAAATCATGGATGGGAAAAATTTAACCCTGTGCTGAATATACACATAGAAAAGAATGGGATGTCAGATAGTGATAAGTAAATTCATTCTCATTTGTTTCAATGGGTCTACTCTATATAGGACTAACATTGGACAATACCTGTGTTGATTTATAAGTGGCTGCAACCTGTGTACTCCATGTGTCGTCTTTATATGTTCATCTTTGCAGTGCCCGGAATCAAATGAGAACATGCGAATGTTGACTAGAGAGGAATTCATAGATAAAATGTGCACAGCAGTTAGACAAGGGAGCAAGGAAGAATATGGCAAACTGTTTGATAAGATAGACTTGATCCGAGATGGCGTCATTGACTGGGACAAACTGACCTCCTTCATGCTACTCGAGTTGTGTGAGAGAGATGAACGAACAAAACAATCCATCATCCCCCAGTGGAAGGACCTCCGGCTTCTCCCATCGATTCATAAGGATGCTGTTCAAAAGATCACCTGTTTGAAAAGCCCCAGCAGCTACCTGACTGTCAGCAGGAGGGGACTGCTTAGCCTCTGGGGAGAGAGCTTAAAATTACAGAGGACTCTTCAGATCACTATGGAAACTGTCAAGCCGAAGGACCTCTGGGTGACTTCTCTTGTCACACTCCCAAATGTGAACAAGGTGTGTAGATATGCTTACAGAAATAGGAGAAAGAGTGCCTTGGAAATTATGTCCATACAGATAGCTAGCTAGCTAGCTAGCTAGATATGCATGCACACACAGTCTGGTCAGGAATCCCATCAAAGACTTCTTCCATTATTTCTACTTCCCTTCAACTGCTACCTTTCTGCTGTCTAAATAGCCCAAACGCTATGGCAGAAACCCCCAAATTAGGCACTGGGCAGCATCAGTGTCTAAGAGAAGGACTAAAGTAAGTGTAGGCAACTTTGGAGCATCTGGAAGCTACTTTGGACCCCACAATACACACTCTTGCCATTGTGGTACCATCAAATTTAATGGTACAGTGGTCACAACCTCTCTGTCCATGAACTGCTGAAATCCAGTGGCAAACCACTACAGAAACCTTTTCTTTTTAAAGTCATGGTAGTAGTTTAACCACTTTAAATTTTTATTCTGTGTATTTATTTTTGCCACCACAATGCTGCTAAGTTTGGTGGCATAGCAGGGATTACCCTAGAGGATGAGAGCCCTGCTGGCTGACCCAAGGAAGCCCAGGTACTGATATTGGTAATGCTTGCCTATTGTGTTGAGAGGTGAGCTCATTGGGAATAGATATACTCACATGTAGGAGAGCCTTCACCTGATCAGGTGTGTTGTTCTATAAGTCCCATTACCACCCCGCCAGCATGGTCAAGAATGAGAAAAGTCCCATCATGCACTGAAGGTATGGGAAATGCATGGGTTGGTTCCTTTAGCGATCACCTAGCAACATGTCAACGGTCATCTGGTGCAGCCACAGGTTTTGCTTTGCTGAACTTTTGATCCATGCTTCAACTTTTACCCATTCCCTCTCTTATTATGCCAAAGGATTCTTGCAGCCCATAATTAATTAATGCAGTGCTGGCAGTGTAATATATTTCTTGCCTGCCTTTCCCTAAAACCCAAGATCTATGGCAGCTTACAAATTATAAAGCTAATAACACACACTTAATATCGACCTCAAAAAACTCAAGTAGAATGCAGCTCTTTTAAAATAACACTGCAGCACATGAACTCAGCAAGAGACAGGTCCCCTGTCCCAAAGAATTTAATTCAGGTTTCCCAGGAAAGAGGGGAACTGGGGGTGAGATGGGGAAAGGGGGCAAGAATAAAAAGGTGCAAATGGGAGGAAAGGGTGTGTTTCAGCTGGGGAGAAAGATGGAAGGGTTAAGGCAGGGGCCTGAGGGAAGAGCTGGACGTTGGGCAAAGATGTGATGGGAGAGCATGAGGTGCATATGCTTTATGTAGGTGCTTCATGCTACTGTTTAAAGTCATAAAGGGCAACTGGGATAAATGGCAGTGCCATGGACCAGCAGCACCTGCTCCATGAATGGAAGGGAAAGCAGGAAAAGTTGTGCACCTGACCACAGGCCCTTCTGCACTTCCCTTCCTGTGGCTATTTCTGCTACTACCAGGTGGCAGCTTGACTGACTGCCTCCATGAAGTCAGCCTTACCTGCTTTGATCCTCAGGTGTAACGTGGTGTCCTGCAACACCAAGGGGTTGGACCCGATGGCCCTCATGGCCCCTTCCGACTCTACTATTCTATGATTCTAGGAATTTGCCACTGGTAGTGCAGGACTGGCTTTTAGGCACGGGAGGGGTGACCTAAAATGAAGAGAGATAAAGAAGGTTCAATTTCAATTCTAGGTTATTAGGGAAAAGATGCATGTTTTCTCTTATACATGCACACCACTGTGAGAAACAGGGTAGCAAAATAACCATCAACAAAAGCATCCGGCTACCTCAACTAGACTGTATGTATTTTGTTCAGGTCTTTTAACCAACCAATATTTTAACTGCTATTGGTTCAGTTCTCTCAATTAGTTCTTCAGTTCCAGCCCCTCTAACTTTCTTTCCTCTATGGCGTTAGGCTCTGTCTGTCCATTCCTTCCTCCCTCGCATTCTCTGCACTACTTCTTCCTGCTTCTCTTCCTCTCTTCCTTTTATCTCTTAAAATAAGTTCCCCCCAGCCCTGCTGCCCATGACCTCTAACCCGGAGGATAGTTTCTCATTCCTTTCTGCAAATTAAATTCCTGTTTTCCAAGTTAGAAAGGTTTATCTTCCCCTGACCCATAATTTAAACTTATAATCTTTTGGATTCATGGGCAAACTTCCAGACTCAACATTCTAATGAAATGTTTAACTTCTAAACGTTTTGGGCTGAAACTGACATTGTGTGTGTGTGTGTGTGTGTGTGTGTGTGTGTGTGTGTGTGTACAGACACATAGACTTGTCCTATAATACCCTAAAACTGACTATATCCAAAAATGGATAATTGTTCAGTTCCTTCACAAGCATGTCTTTCAAAAGACCTGGAACTTTTAAATTGATCTGGAATTGTAGACTCAGAAGAATGCCTTTTCCCTCCTGTGCTAACTTTCTTTCCTTTATTCCAACCCCAACAGGTAGCTGTTGCATTTACAAGCAAAGAGATCCATTTTGCTGAGCTGAATTCGAAACAAGGATTCTCATGCCAGTACAGACTTCAGGGCTTGGAGGGGACGGTGATATGCATGGACTACTGGTACAATCCTCATGATGGAAATGATGCCATTCTGACCATGGGTGATGTCTGTGGGCAGGCAAGTATAGCACAAAATCCAGCATTGTTATGCCGTGATGTAGAGATGTTGCGTATTCATTTGGTGATGTCCAAGAGTTCCTGGCAGGGCTGGGCACATGCACAGACTGGATGCAAAGTTCCCTGGCAAGCAGGTGGCTTGGAGAGGTGCACCAGCACTCATCTGGGATCTGGCAGAGTGGTGTGGTTGTTTTGGAGAGAAACTTCAATGTGTTCAAACCTGCTCTGGAGGGCCACATTTTTTTATTCTCTGTGGGAATGTGTCCTGTAGTCCCTGAACTTTCTGGGAAGCTGGAGGAGATCCTCTTGGCCTATTTCTGGGAAGGGCTAATCAGTGGAGATCAGCAGCTGTGCTGTTGAATGGAGTATCCCAATGCCCAGAACTGACCCTGAAGTATAGAAAGCTTTCCTTTGAACCTTACTGGAGTCTTACTCTTTGATCTTGACTACAGGCTTGTCCCACAGACCCTGGTTCCCAGCTCACCTCAGGCTTCTGTCCATGGTTCCATCCCGATGGACTATGGGAGTATGTCTTAGGCAAAGTGTCTGGAAACTTCACTATGCCCTGGGAGTCAGTCTAATGGAGCACTGCCCCCTTCTGGGTCTCCAATCTTCTCTCCTTTAGGAGAGTGCCAGTGTCCTTGATCATCATACTGAAAGAGTGTGTACTTCCATAGTATTCTAGTATATTAAATCACTAAAAGGCAGCTTTGGAGAGGAAGGTGGAGTCACGTGATTCCTTTGTGGAAATATGGAAGCAGTTGGACATGTTTAGCCTGGAGAAGAGGGGATTAAGAGACAATCTGATAGCAGTCCAAGTATTTGAAGGGCTACCACATAGATGATGGAAACACTTTATTTTCTGTTGTTTGGGAGGCTCAGATGCTTTCTCAAATTACTAGAGAAGGAATCTTGATTAAACATGAGGAAGAACTTCCTGACTCTGCACACTGTCTGGTTGTGGAACAGATGTCCACCAAAGGCGGTCAAATTTCTTTACAGGCTTTCAAGCAGAGAAAGGGCAGCACCATCCATTTAGGGGCGACAGTGGTTGGCCCAGACCAGGGATATTGGCTGTCTTTCAGCCTGAGGGCTCAATGCCATTTTGGAGAATGTCTCTGGACCTGTGCTCCAGGGACGAATGGGGAAAAGTAAAAGGGACAGGGACCGTTGCAGAAGCAACAGGCTGAGAAGACCAACAATCTCAGTATGACTTTGCTTAAGGCTCTTATTGCCACAAACTAAGCTTTTGGAGAGAAATCTCAACTTTGTCGAATGGGAGAAAATGCACAAAATCCCAGAAACCAGTTGTTCAGTGACTGGCGGAAGGAGCGTGGCCACCTGGGAAACCCCTGAGTGGGGGCAGATTTGGCCTCTTAGTTTGAGGTTCTGTAGTCCTGGACTAGGTGGTATCAAAGGCTCCTAACGCCATGATTTAGAGCTTTCTCCTCCAGTTGAACTAAAAGGCAATGCACCTCAATTGTTTTCCATTACTCATACCCTTGAGCTTCACAGAACTGCTTCCAGCTGCCCAAAGCCTCCCTTTTGTCATATGCACATCCTTGCCAAGCTATACATATTTAAGTTATTTCCATTGTCCTCTCTTAAGCAAATCCCTGCAGCCTCATTAACAAAAAATAGCCTTTGCTCTGGCCATGAAATTTAAATGACTACAAGTTATGAATTTATAACAAAGTGGAGGCTTTGTGCAATATTCAGGGTATCGCCTTCAGTAATGGGTTGCTTTGAAGTGAGGAGAATAGTAAAATATATTTATATATATTTTAAAAATTAATTGTATCCCTCTCAGGTTCAAGCAATTGCCTTCAATGCAGCCCTGATCTCATTGTTTGAACGACCTTGCAGTTCCCCTGAAGATGAAAATGTGACAATGACGATTAATTGGCAAGAGCTGGTCTCCGGATATCACAAATGCTGCTATACGTTAAGGCACAGGCTGCATGATAAAGAATGGGTTAAACAAGGTACCAATCTGAAAAATAATGGAAGGAAATCCCTTTTTAATTTTGTGCATCACCTTTGGCATTGATGATGGTGTCAGACAAAGCATTAGAACTGAGACATCCTGCTCTTAGGCTGTAGTTCAATGCTCATTCAGCTCAGAGTAAGGCTAACTGAATTGAATGGGACTTCCTTCTGAGGAAACATATAGTGTTCTTCTTGGGACTTGGCATTCTTGGTCTCAGGGGCTGCTCACGTGGCCCTAAGGCATCTCAGGCACTAGTATGGTGGTCGTTAGGTCTGGGGCATAGGTGGCAGGGGCCAACAGCTGGAATACCTGGGCCAGAGGCGATGGTGGCCCTAGCAGAATGCGGGAGAGCCAGAGCAAAGGTGAAATCCAGAGCAAGCAAGGGTAGCAGGACCAGAAGCAAAGGCAGGGTCAGATCCTGACAAGGCAGAACAAAAGCATGACAGAGGCAGTCAGATACTAACAAGGCATGGTAGAACCTCAGGCCAAGACGAAGCATGGAGCAGGCAAAAATCAGGTACTGACAAGGTATGGCAGGATTCAGTGCAAAGGCATGAATCAGCCACCTGGCAAGCAGGGATCAGACCAGATGCAGGAGCAGAGGCTCACTTGAAGAAGCGCCTCAGAGGAAGGTCAGGAACTCAGTGCAGCCCTCCCAGAAGCCCATGCGACTGTGGTGAAGCTGAGTAACTTGCCTTCCCAGCTGCGGCTCTTGACTGCATAGGCACCGGTTCCTGCAAGAACCTGCAGTGCTCATCCTGGTCCTCCAGGCACTTGCAGGGGGAGCTGTGCTGTGGCGAGCTGTGTCAAGGTTTCAGACCCAGGCAGTGGTCTTGCAGCCAGGCTAATCTATCTGTGACTGTGCTTGCACTTGCAAGTGGGTAAAACACCCAAGGGAAAGAGAAACTTCCTTGATATGCTTCAGATTTTCAGATGCTGTTTTTCTGAATAGTTTAAGGAGTGGTTACTGGGATGGCCACACTGGCCACTTTGGGAACACTACTGGAAACTGTTCTAAACATTTCATCCCACCTCCAGAATGATCCTCTAGTTTTTGGGGCCCTGAAATCTTTCACCTATCCCTGAAAAAGCCCGGGGGTACTCTCAGCACCACAGGAACTAGTGATTCCTGAAAAAACACATGACTGGTTACATTAATTTCTGGAATGGCTCAGGGAATCAGAGCTAGCATTACATATTTCTGGGGGTCACTAGTACTTGTGGTGTTCTTGGTATTTTACCAGTGAGCAGAGGTGGAGTGACAGCACAGGATACTGCCCTCAGGGTTAACTGACCAAACTTTTGGCTCAGCACCAGGACAAGGAAGGACTAGCTTACAGGCATACTTCAAACTGATTGTTTCAGAAATTAAGGGTTTGCTGTTAAGTCCTGATACAAAGATGAACCTCTTCCTTTCAGTAAATCTGTAGTCTCTTTAACACTAATACCATTACACTTTTGAATCAAAACTTAGGTTTTGAAACCTAAATCCATATCACATCCCCAGAGGTGCTCTTTAAGTTCAAAAATGCTAAAGCATTTTGCATTCATGATGTAATCCTAACTATCCGGGCCTGAATAATTAATAGGTAGCTTGCTGGAAGGAATCTCTTCCTTTTCTCCCACAAAAGTGCTCTGATTAATACAACATTTCAACTTTTCATCTCATAGTGAAAGTTGTCAAGCTGCAAACTGGAGATCTGTGTTGCACTTCTAAATGTCACTGTGCAGTTAGAGAAGAGGCAGATATGGATGCTGTTGCTGTTGCTGTCACTGCCACGGCTATGGGCTACTTCCCTACTCTTCTTGCTGTACTTTGTGGAATCCCCTTCCTGCTTATACTGAGAGAGAAATGGATGGGAAGAAGCCATGGCAGCAACCTTGTCTCTTGCTGCAACATGTAAATCAAAGCCAGTAGTAACATATTTTTGGGCTGTTGCAGCTTGGCACCCCAGAACTTTCCAATCTTTTGCAGTAAATATGTAAATAGGCGCCCACACCTGCTTCCTGGAGTGCTGCAGCCCAAGGATATGTTACTACCTCAGATCCATCACCAGCTTTCAGCTTTTTGTAGGCCGTGGTGCAAGACATCCTCCATGGGCCGTCCCTCTGTTCATCTACTTCTTACCACCATTGCTTTTGTTTCTTATCCTCTTTTTTATTACTGGTTCCAGGGTTGACTGGATTGAGCTTCAGTTTATTAGCCATCTTCCAGTTCATTGTGTAGCCAAGCATTGATTTAACACATCTGCAGCCTCACTCGATGACGATGGAAAGGGGAAGTAGCGCTGTGTTTCTTCTTTTTCCTCTTCCTCTTCCATTTCTATCCCTCCCATTAGCCATAAGGCTCCCTGGATGGGTCACAGCAAAAAAATATACTGGCACATACTGATGTTGATACATTCCAAAATTCGAGGTGACCCCATGCAGTTGTTTTGTCTAGACACTGAACTTTATGGGGGACAAAAGGGACCCCTGAGGAACCCCATGCTGACGAATCCACGGGGGCTAGCGATTTCCCCCAAGCACCACCTTTTGGCACTGGCCATCCAATTAGGAACAACCACCAGGCAGGATCAGTCTCTTCCCTGATCAAGCCGTCATCCCCTGTTGGTTTTTTCTAAGCCAAGAGGGGCAAGAATCCAGTATGGCAGTGGATCTAGTTGCAACCTGTTCCAGCACCTTGCCAAGGTCCTTGAACTATAGCAGCTGAACACTTCCAAGGAGAGTGGTCCAAGCCATGCTTTGGATGCTTCACCTGCTAGAATGTCAGATGCTAAGTCCCAGTGGATGCAAGGGATTTTGTCCTAGAAATGCTTTGCAAATATGTCACAGCAGGACTCAGACACATGTACAATGTCCATATCTGAGCTACTTTTGTACTGCTCAACATGCCAGGATTTCCAAGGAGATTTACATAAAAAGATACCATCTCATGTATATTTGTGCATAAAACAGTTTAGAATAATAAATATATTACAATATTGCAACAAAGGAGTAAAACAGAGGACTGTCTTCACTTCTTGCTTTCAGTCAGGGAAAGTTCAAGTGAACAAACACATTTTCAAGCTGTGCTGCAGTTTTCACTTCTCAAACCACTCATGGGCAATTGTTCCAGAGGACATGTGCCTGTACCAAGAAGTTATGTGTCGTTGCCTGGCAACACTCTGCTCATTGTGAAGTGCCTGATCAGGCATCCTCCAAAGAGCTCAGGAAACACTTTGGCCTGCATAAGGGAAGGTGATCAGCTGCCTATCCCAGCCCTGAGTTGTTTAGGGCAGTGAAGATCAACAAACAAAACCTGAGCATGGCTAATACATTGAACTACACTTGAAATTTTCATGTTCAACCTCCCCCAGTTTGGAGAAATCCTTTCTCGTTTGAGCCACACCCCAAATAATCCTGCAAGTTGGCTCACCGGTGCCTTTCTAGGGAAAATTTCTTGCTTCTGGGGCTAGAAGTACGTGGCATGAAGTGGTGGCTATTGGAGAATCATCTGTGCATGTTCTGCCGCTGCTTTGCTTGGAAGTCTCCATTGGGAAAGCAACTTCTCCTTACAGATAACAGGCACTGCAGTTTTACATCACGTGTAAGGATTCTGAGGGTAGTTGGTTTAATTTCCCATCTCTTCTTTGGAGTCAGAGCTTCAGTATTAGAGACAGATGGTCAGAAATTCAAAAGCCTTTCTAAAAATCTCAACACCAAACTGGGCACATGTCATTGGCCTGGGTGTGCTTGTTTTTATAATAGAGGCTAGGAGATGGAGGTTGATCCAGGTCCTGTCCATGGTAAGGGGCTAGCTCTCTTTTTAAACCAACCTGAAACATTTGTAGGGGATGGGATAGAAAAGCTTTTAATAAATAAATAATCCTTTGTGCTTTAATAAATAAATAATCCTTTGTGCCCACCAATTCCCTACCAATGGGAGCTTGGCTCCTGATGCAGTAAGCAGTCATGGTGTGTCCATATGTTTGTCTTGGAATAAATTGGTGCACTAGGTGGCTAAAAGTATCCAGTGCTTCACTTTTATTATTGCTTTCCTATATTTTTTTATCTTGAATGTGTCTTATTTTGCTTACATGACTTATATATTAGCTACTTTACATGGAGTGGGCTCAGGTTTGCAATGATCTCTCACCTTCCCGTTCCTCTTCTGTTCACCAGACTTCTTCTGACGCTTCCATGGCATGTGCAGCATGAACAAAGGCTGCATGTCAGAGATGGGTAAGAGGGACACTGCCTGTGTGCACTCATTTCCAGGTGGTGTTTATGTGAATGCTTGGCACACTCACCAGGAAGTTTGACTCACAACTACAAGAAGGCAGGCTGGTGTCCAGGGAGCTGGACCCAGGGAATCTTATAGATTCCCACCCTCAAAAGGGATTCCTTGCACATCCCTTGGTGGGCTCATCGCCATTAGAAATCTTCAAGGAGTGGGTGGACAGTCATTTATTGGGAAGCTCTAGCTCTGAATTTCTTGCATTCAGCAGCATGTTGGACTGGATGGCCTACACCATGCGTAGGTAAAGGGTATTTTGTCAGATATTTTGGACGGCAACTTCCAGAAGCTCCCTGCCAGCATGGCCAGTGGTCAAGAAAGCTGAAAGCTGAAGTCCAAACCATTTGGAGAACTACTTTCTGCTCATCCTAGCCCACAAGAGCCCCTCCAACTCATACTAAAAAAACTCTGTCTCATTCTTCTACTCCATTTCATATTTTCTTATGCAACAAAGCATATTAAATGTGCTGATTATTGCTGATATGGAAATTACTCAAACATCACCTTTTTCCAGTTGGGCATTCTCCAAGGAGTTTGATGTGCAATATAAATTTGTCAGAAGCAAGTTTATGTCTTTCTTACAAACTATGAAGATTACTTGGCTCTTGACATACATAATGCTTTCCTCTCATAAAAGTCCCCAGAGCTAAGAGAGGGGAACCATGAAATAAGACTCCAATAGTTATTTTTTTAAACTGCATCGCAAGGTTTTTGTTTCTTTCTTTCCTTTTTAAATGCAATCTGCCTTTTCAGCAAAACAAAAATTACAACAACATATACTAAATCCTTTTCTATGATAGCTGTTGCTTTTCCTAGTTATTATGCTTACTGTTAACTGATATTATTTGTGGAAGCTAATGGTATGTTTCAAAGTTCCTTTAAGAACTTAAGAACATTTGTGCTGGATCAGACCAAAAGTCCAACCAAGTAAGTACAGCACTCTCTTCACATGCTGGCAAACCAGCTGCCCACAAGTTCCCTTAAGCAGGAGGGGTGCAAGAGTTCCAACTGCTTGGGCTTCCAAGCAACCAGTGTACGACGGCCATCAAGACTGGTAGGCATCAATAGCCTTCTTCCCCATGAGCTTGTCCAATCCCCTTTTAAGGCTGCCCAAATTGGTGGCCATCACTATATCCTGTTGTAGTTTATTCCATGGTTTGTCTATGCATTGTGTGAAGTAGAATTTCCTTTCACCTGTCCTGAATCTCCCACCAGCTTCCTTTACTTGGCCTGCTTTTACACACTGAATGTCAAAGTGTGCTCATATGTAAACATATGAATATATTACATGTGCAACAATACCTACAATGCACACATCTATTTGTCAGGGAGCTGGAATTAGCCATGGTTCCTTAACAACAGACAAGACTGAGCGGGGACATGATATCCCTCTGTAAGTACCTCAAAGGCTGTCACAAAGAGGAAGCTCATGATCTCTTCTTGCTGATGCCAGAGTGCAGGGCACGGAATAATCAATTCAAGTTGCAACAACCTAGATTCAGGCTGGACATCAGGAACAGCTTCCTCACTGTCAAAGCAATGCAACAGTAGAACCAGCTGCCTAGAGAGATGGTGGGTTCTCCCACACTAGAGACATTCAAAAAGACACTGGACAGCCATCTGAGTGGAATGGTGTAACCTGGTGTCCTGCAACAGCAGGGGGTTGGGCCCAATGGCCTTCATGGCCCCTTCCAACTCTATTCTATGAACTGTACACTCTGTAGACTGATGGAATCCTAAATCTGAGATTCATGATGCGGGGCCTGGTAATGTTACATGAGCCTCGCTAGTGAAGCCACATATGCGAATGATTGGGGAAAATCAGTGGAACAAAATCTGGGTTCCTCATAACCCTCCCCATTTTCTGGGGTGAGGGAGAAGTTAAGTGCTGGGGAAACTGGAAAAAATGCTTTCCAAGCAGGCTTTTCTGCTTGAGAAGGAGTGAAGTGCTTCTTAGACATAATAATGGTATAACCAATTACATGGCTGAAAATCTCTTAGTTCCACCAGCCATGTTAATGAAGACAGCATTGCTCTTGCATTCGTGTGCACTAGCAAAAATGAAATAAAACAATGCCCTTTAGTGGTTGGCAGCTGAAAGTGATATGTTTATAGCACTCCAATTCCAGTGCCAAGGATTACTGGCCAAGTTATCCCGCCAACAGTCTACCACACATTGCCAAAAGCAGTGCTTGTTTGGTCCACTGAAGTTTGTTCCATGCTAATTCCAAAGACATCATGGACCTCCAATGTATCAAGAGGTTGAAATGACCTTCACCAGCATGTGGAATATGCACTGCACCTTAACGTTCAGGGACACAGGCTTACATGTATGTGCAAAAGGGATCTTTTCTCAGTAGTATCTTCTCTCACCTTTAGAAAGCCTTTAAAATAGTCCACTGAAGAAAAATGCTGCTGATTTTAGGAGCAGGTAATTGCTCATCAACATGTACAAACATTGCACAATCACTTGAAGTATTATACAGAAGTTGCATAATTTAATCAGAAATGGTACTGCGGGGCTGCTATATGTGCATATTCTCCTGTCATCAGTAATCAGACCAGCAGCTGATTAAAGCTTATTTACAAATCATAGTTTTTAATCATCCCAGAGTCACATTTTCACGGTCTGCACAGTTCTGGGTTTTCAGTTATCCAAGGTACAATCCTGATGGTACTTATCTACCAATGTTAGGATAAGTCCACTGATTCAGGCTTAGAAGAATGTCTTTAACAACCATCAAACCTTCTTATTCAAGCCTGCTCTTCTCTCTTGCTTTTTCTGCATCCCATTTCTCCTTCGCTCAGTCTTGGATTAACCTTTAATTCCTGTTACATTTGATACAAGCCAACAATTTAAATCATTAGCATTTTGATGTCAAGAATTTCTTTTCCAATCGGTATGCATTTGCAGTCGGACTAGTGTACTGCTCAGGATGGATGGATCTGTCATTGTTGCTTTTCCCCCACATATATTTTCCCCCAATCACAACTTTTATCCTAAATATGAAGATATTTGGGGATTTTGCTAAATTCTTATCAAAATGAGACCTAAAGAAAATTCTCACCAAGAATGTATGGCACGATATATTTGGTTTTGTTCACTCATCTTTCTATAAAAATAAAGCATTCAAGCTAATTTTACCCAATATAGCTACCTACCTACCTTAAATCAGGCATATAATCAAGAAGAAAACTTGGAGGGATCCTCTTTTGTGAATTCTGATGAAAACTGACTGGAGTAATAGGTAGTTCTTAAAATAAATTATATTTCCAATGTCATTTCTCTTCATTTTGCAGTGCAGTTCTTAGCTCAAAAAATATACCAACACAAGTTTTCAGCTCTGATTTCAGCTAAAATGCATTAGAAATTGTGTATATTTAACTACAATACATTTATAAGGGTGCATTTTGTGAAAAATATTTATTTAGGAATTTGTTTATGTATGAAATTCTTATGCAGATATTTTTAAAAACCTGATGGGTATGAAATATGAAATTGGATGGTACAGAGTTATGCATGAATGCATGAAAAACTGTTATGGAATGGAAATAGACTGATCTAGCCATACCTAATAACCTAGGGTTATTGAGACTTCCAGTACTTAAAAACAGCAACAACTCTGTTCTAGTTAAGAATTCCTACTTGATGAAGAATTTAATTAAAATATTATATCTTTCCTGTTTCAGTTGCATACAGCTCCTCTTTGGATGTCTTTATTTCTGTTACGACCAGTAGTGTAAACACTGTGGTGCTAGCTTGGAGAGAAAAGTTAACTCCTCATCTTACAATGACAACTTTCCGTGTTGACCAAGGAGTCAATGCTTTTGACTTCCATCCTAGGCTCAACTTGATAGGTATGTAATTCAAACTATCGCCTTGATTATGCATTTTGAGTGATTCTCAGAATTATTCTGCCCTGCAGACTGGAACTTGTTTCCCCTTCCCAAGAAGATTACAAGAATTGCAGTTTTGTGTGGGCAAGGAACTTCTAACAGCTCCTTCATTAAACTACAACACCAAGGATTCATTGAGGGAAACCATGACACTTGAACTTGCCTAATATTGACATAAGTGAGTCATGTAGATGTGAACTTCAATTTGATTTAGATGTAACACCATAGACTAGACCCACACATGAAAAATGGTGGTAACAGACATAAGGGGAGAGAAAGCCTGTACAGTCAGGCTGATGTCCCTTGTTGGTATTCTTTCTGGGAGGGATGAGGAGATAATCTCTTCTGGCCAGGGGCAGTGGCTATGGTTACCATGCAGCAGGAAATATGATGAAGTGAGGGAGTCATTTTCTGGGCTGCATTCCATTCAGTAAGGCACAGTAAATTGTAGCGATGTTGTAAAACATGGCATTTACCTAGTGGCGGCTGTATCTTAGAACTCCTAAATGCCTCGGGCCCCATATATCAGGAGACATTTGTGTGACAAATGTGAACAAATTATAGAGAAATGCAACCAACTCAGGCTCCCTTTTCATGACTGCTCTGAACATTCTGAGAGCTCTGGGAACTTTTGTCGAATGGTGGTTTCTTAGAAGATAATCTAACAATTCAGCCACTGTAGAGTTGTAGTACAGGTTGTCTCCTTGCCAAGACCCAGTGTAACCCACAAATGCTCCATGGATAGCCTTGTAACTGTGGCGTCCTTAGGTCTGGTGGGAACAATCAAGAGGAAACATTTGCTGGTTAAAGGGTAAGCTTAGCTCAGGAAAATAAATGCTTAAAAATATGCAGAAGGAACGCAACTCTGAATGGAGAAGAAGGTGAAAAGGAACTAAGGGAACCCAAGGTTTTTGCAATGAGTAGGTAAGACAAGAAAACTAATAAAGAAGTGATGAATAGGACTGGAAAGAATGCTCTGAAGTGTCAATCTAGTATAAGGCATAGGGTAAGAAATACGGGGTCAAGTTGCAAGTAGCACAGAAGACTTGTATGATGTATGAGGAACTGAAAAGGCTTGCACAAGGTAACAGTTTGGCTACAAAGCAAAACTTGAGGGCATTATCTACACTGCTGATTTATAAACCTGATCAAAGTTCCAAGTGTAAGTAAGTGCCCAGATGTTTCAGTTTGTACTAGCTGATCTCCTATCAATCCTGGGAACTGTGCTTTGATGTGAATGGGAGAATGGCTTGACTAGGGATAGAAAGCCTTCCAGAAATATCTGGTTCCCTGGAGAGAAGGAATAACCATGAAATGAGTTTAGATTTCAATAAGCTTTCCAAGGGCAGGGAATCATTGGTGGCTACTAGGCAGCTGCTGAGCTACTTTCTTTGGAGTTTGCCCATTGCACAAAGGTAAGACAGGTAAGATTTGTGTTAAAAATGGGGCATACATTTTATTGTTACAGATTATAATGGAAGTTTTCTCAGTTATTCTTCTCTATATATCACCGTATCTGTCATCATGTATACCCATGATAAATAACTATCATATAGATAGACACACACTCATATATATTAGGGTGCAAATGCATATATACTAATAGGCACTGCAACCAAATGTTTCAGTGCAGAGTCCCCCTGAACACTCTTCTGCTGTTACCATTTTTCTACTGCCCAATTGTTGAAAGTCTCCGGGCAGTTCCAAGCACTGCCTTTAGCTTGCCCCTCTCTCCAAGGCAGGATACTGCCTCCTGGTTTGAGCTTAAGACCAACCATGGGGAAAATATGTACATTTTGATGAAGGGCATAAAACAGGGGAATGAAAAGCAGAAATGTTGATGTGATCAAATGTAGAGACTGGAAGAGAATCCACTGTCTTTATACAGTTCCTGAAACTGTGGTTGAGATTTTAAAGGAAATGTATTTTAACACTGTGACTTTGAACAGCGACTGCTGGAATAAACCGTCGTGTCTGCCTTTGGAATCCTTACGTCACATCTAAACCTGCTGGAGTCCTGGAGGGCCATTCAGACAGTGTAACAGCTGTCCAGTTCATCACTGAGCGCAAACTGCTGTTCAGCTTTGCTAAGGATAAGGTGAGTTGTGGCCTGCATTACTTCTCTAGGCAAAAGTCCAGGAAAAAAAATAAACCCACAGGGCCCTTGTTTTTCAGGAGCTGCTTCCCTTTCTACCCTGATGAGTGAAAGCATACAAAATGGGCTAGCAACTTTGGGATGTCAGGAGGCCATTTTTGCCCCCCCCCTCACCGGACGTCCCCATGGGTCACCCTCTATTGCAAGCACGTTTTTAAAAAACTGCTTGCAGTGATACAAATGCCCAAATGGTCAGAATTAACTCTCTTACATACACAATTTGGTACTTTGGGTGTTCTGTATTTTCTACAAGCACCTTAAAATTTTCCTGCTGAATTTGGGGAGATGGTAGGAGCCACCTGTGCCCTAATATATTAAGGCATCCTTTTGCAACCTTGTGTCCTCTAGATGTTTGGCTTCAGCTTCCATGGTACCTATCCAATAGCCAGGCATCCTGACAGTTGCTGTCCAAACGTTCTGGAGGGCACCAGGACGGAGAAGACTGTAGTAAGGAATTTATCATGGAAGGGGCTTCCTGACCCAGGAAGATCCATCCTGCATCTCTTTCAGGGTGTCCATACCACTGACTTGCTTCTCAGATTCTCTCTCATAACAGGTCATTCCTAGTAGATAATACATTTTGAGGTGGCCCACTTACTTTGATGGGTTCTCCTTCTTATACTTGCTTCCTCCTGATCCTATATTCAACAACTCTCTCCTCACTTCTTGTGCCTCCATTGCCTTCTGTGAACTAGCTGAAAGGCCACTTCACTAGAATAGAACATTTGCTGCAACTCTTACTTCGCTTCTGAAGGGCACACCATCAAGAGCTGTATCTCCCATGGCTCCAGCTGACTTTTCAGTTTCTCTCTCACAGTCATTTCCAATCTGGTGTCCTCCAGATGTTTTGGTCAGTAACAATACCAAATTGTGTGTGTGTTGGGGGGGGGGTTAATCCTGAACTGAACTGGGGCCATGCAGGGGATGTTCAGAAGCATTTGGACAGCAACTGGTAGAATCCCCATCCAGCAGGGCCATTGACTGGGAATTCTGGATGTTGCAGTCCAAACATGTCTGGATGGCATAAAGCTGGGGAAGGATGTACTAGAGTAACAATCACATGGGTCAGCTACCTGAGATGTAATTACAAAATGACAAGAAACCTTGTGTAGTTACCACAGTTCATGGGGGGTTTTTTGCCACTATTATCTACCTAGTAGACACTCAAGTGGTTTCTATGTTCTTGTGGTTTCCATCCTCCCTACCTAGTCCTCCCACTGTTGGCATGTATCCCATCAGCTACCATGCCTGCAATTCATCCCAAGTTGCATCAGTCACTGTCTATGTCACTTGCCTCATTGGTCCACACATAAAGGCTGGATGACTTGAGCAGCTCCTGCAGTTGGTGCTTTTTCTACGGGATTCTGTGATAGTTGTATATCAGGACCATGGAAACTATGGTCCAGGGTTTGAATAACACAAAACACTATGTGGCACTATGTAACAAACCTCTGTTACCTATCATGTTCCTAAAGTCAAAACATACCATGGTGAAATACCATGACTGAGTTCAGACTACACCATAGACCAACAATGGTAAAAACCCAAAATGGGTTATCAAGTTGGCTGGACCTGGTCAGTATGTAGTTTGACCCTTAGGCTGCTGTTACATGTATGAGTAAGGCAGCTAGAAATGTTGGCAACCCTACGCTTAAGTTCCTCTTTGATTGCATGCACCATGCGGCTCCAAGACTGAAACTTAGCTTTATATTCTTGAGAGTTGAGAGGACTTGTTCTGATACCCACTTTAAAAACAAATTCTTTTAACGTGCCACTAAGCCTCTCAACAGGTTTGTTAATGCCGTTTTCCCTTTGGCCGCTTAGCCATTAGTTTACAAGCAGTCTTGTGTCATGCTTGGCATTAGCATGAATCTGTTTCACTTTGATGGATGAACAGGCACCTGAGTTGGTACTTATTTACATACACTCCCTTCTGCTCTGCTGGAGGAAGTTCTAACAACTGCCAGCCAACCTCCATCAAGCATCTACTACACAATGTCATGTAGGACAAGGACAGACTCAAACCAGATGAAAACACTTCCTTTGCAAAAAGCCTTGATTTGACAGCTAAACAAGAAAAAGAAATGCAGGAGTCATGATTGGCTTGTGCTTCGAATCACACACCACTGTGATTTGAGAAGAGAAGAACGATTTATTTTAAGTTGGCCACTTCTGCAATGATTTATTTCATTTTGGGAATCTCAAAGTGACCATTTTTAAGACGTTTACATGTGGGGGTACAAATGATCAGAAGCTGCATGAAACCAGAAATCTTGTTATGTAATGCATACAACTGACTTGTGAAATGGTAGCCTGAAGCCAGAGGCTTACTAGGGAAGAAAAGGGAGGGAGCCTGAGGTTGGTGTGAGCAACTTTGAGGGTAGCATCACCAAAAAGGAAGGCTAAAAAGGGCACAAAATTTTGCATGTGCTCATTTAGATACAGAGTTAGTTTTAAACAGTGATATCCTTTGAGTAGGACATCAGGACACCTTAGAGCCTTCCTTATGGTCCCCATTGGAATCCCCATGTGCATGATCCAAGCATCATTTTATAGGGCAGGACAGTACAAAATTTAACCTGGACCCCCTTCCACATGTACACGCATGACATCCCACACAATCTCATAAGTTAGGAAAGGAGAAAAAACTGATTAAATTCTAAAATGAAATTTCTGAAATTCCCTTATGACTTACATGGTTATCTTTCCTAATATGCACCGAAACAGCCCGTTTGTGTCTGTCTGCCTTGCTTTCTGATAGCTATATACTCTTTATCTGATAAGATAACTCAGTGGTAAGCAATAAGAAGAAATGATAAAATGATAGAAAAGTAGAAGAAAAAGAGAATTAAAATACTTTAAATTAAATGATAATATAATTTTGAGCCTCAATACAGCCTAATAAAGCCTACTATTTTGTAATTTTTGTTACTCCTAATAAAACATTGTTCTGTTGATTTTTCATCTAAATGGTCCAAAAAAACCTGTACAGCTGCAAACATTTCAAAAATAGACCAATTCATTTTAAAGCTCTGTTTTCCTGACCTTGCTCCATTGCAAAGTTGTGAATTACCCTCCCAAAGTCCACATCTCTTGCAGGTTCACACAAACTGATAGACAAAACATGTAGCCAGCTGGCATAACTATTCTTGCCCCACAGCAGGATGCTGGCAGTTTTTGACAGGTGCTGATTTGCTGAAACTTCTTTCAACTTTTGTCAGACTTTGACAATGTGAAAAGGTCTGTCAGAGTAAGCACACTTGATTGTAAATTGGTTTGCAAATTTTGGTCCCTGGACAAAACACAATCTTCAGTGTTCCAGATCCAAGGTGGGAAAAGAGCTTCCATTTCAACACCTCACACAGTTCTGTTCTCAGACCTCAAAGAAGAGCTAAAGGGGCTGTTATGAGAGCCAAGACCAGGGCCACATATTCTGGTGGCACTCCAGCCATCTTTTTTCCTCATCTGAAAAGACTCAGCTAGGTAGCCATAATAAACCTTCTAGCAGACTTTCAGGGCAGGAGCAGCAGGGATGAGAAGATCACCTCCCACACCGGATAAAATGCTATTAACCCTCAAAGTCTGGAGGCATTGTGCCCAAATTCACTATATTTTAGGGCTGAAAATCCAACCAGCAGAGCTGACTTCCACCATCCCTAGGCTTTGCCCCAGCTACTATCTGCCTGTCTTTGTTTCCAATGCGCAAAGAATTCTGGGATTATTCGTTCTTGAGAAAGCATGAGGTACAAAGAAGCACAAATCTGTGTCTCTCAAATGAAAAGTCCTAGTTTAATTGCATAAGCAGAGAAGGCCTTGGACTAGCAACATACTGTTGGGGAAGATTCTTGTTCTACTCTAAAATGTCTTATGGTTGGCTCCAACAAATGTGTTGGGAAGATGTGGGAAATAGGAACATAGACACTGGGAAAAACGTTTTAACAGCAATCTTGGGTTTCATCTAGTGCAGCAAAATCAGTTGAGCTGTCTCTGAGATTCTTAGTTTCACTCCTCCTGACAGTCATCTTGAAATGGCATATTTGGTGTACAAGTTGGTTTTCCTCCATGAGGTTTGGGAATCTTTGAGCCCTTTGTCGGTGATGCAGAAGTGGCCAAAATAAATTCCCCTGTTCATGGCTCATTTCTCTGTCCCTCCTGCACACTTGTCCGTCTTCCTTTCAACTTGAACCAATGCCACTTGATCTAGTCTCTTCTGTCCAGGCTGGGACATTGTGGGAAATTAAAATGGTGGCTCCTATCTCCTTACTTGACAATAAGAAAAAGGAACAACTTCAGTGGTCTGATTTCATGGAATAACCATTTTTTAAGCTGGTGAATTCTGTCCCCCCCACACCCTTTCTCTACTGTGTACAGGTTTTAAGGATCTGGGACATTCAGCACCAACTCTGTGTGCAGAGGATTGCTGGGTCCTTCCCCAAAAGCCTAGACTTCCATTCTGTGCTTTACTTTGATGAATCCCACGGCCGCCTTTTCATCTCCTTTAACAACCAGTTGACACTGTTGGAAATGGAGCAAGATCCAGGCAAAAGCAGAGTCACAAGTCACAGAAGGGCAGTGACTTGCATTCTTTATAATTCTATATACAATCAGGTAACAAGACAGAAAAAAGCGAAAACCTTTCCTTTATTAGTCTGAGAAGTAAATTTAATACCTGACTCAAGATTATTTTAAGACACAATCCAAGGTAAGTTTGTGGTGAGGGAGGCCTACAATGCACTGCATAATGCCCCTGCCTGCATAACTAGTTAGGGGATGCTGGGACTTGTAGGCCTCTTTCTATCTAAAGTAGCCTAGGCGTTTGTCCTTAATGTGATTTTTTGGCAAGTAGAACTAAAGCTCAGGGAACTATTGAATTATCTTATGCTGGTGTGTGCTAACTGCAAACTTTCATTGGCTGTTTTTTTTAATTGTCTTATTATTTATATACTGCTCCATTCCTATAGTATCTGTGTGTTTTTCAAGAAATTAACCCAGCAGTGAGTAATATTGACTAATACAACATATTCAATAAAACTGACCTGAGAACTAATCTGGGAAGGCCTGTCAGAAGAGATATGTTTTTAACTTGCTCTTAGAGGTGGGAGTTTGGGAAATCAGATGCATCTCTCAGCAGACCAATTCACAGCTTAGGGGCAACCACTGAAAAAGTCCCCTGGGTAGTTGATATTGATATTACAGTAGCAGATTTCAGAGGATTATTCCCAGAGGATCTTAGCTCTGGGAATGTGGAACACAAGGCGGAATGTGTGGGCAAAGGCACTCCAGAAGGTATTTTGGACCCAGTCCAAAGGTAATTACCAATACTTTGTTCTCTATCTGGAAACCAGTGCGAAGACTCTAAAATAGGTGATAGGTGGTCCCTCCATGATGTCCCAGAGACCAGCCTGCCTGCCCTGTTTTGTACTAGGTGCAGTTTCTGGAGCAGGCAGAAGTAGCTCTATGTAGAAAACTTTACAGAGATTGAGCCTAGACGTTATCAACACCTGTACTACTGTTTTCAGAGCTAACAGGGACATGCTCCCCCTGTCAGTTCTGAGTCACAGGCCACCTACTGCTTTGCTCTGCTCTGCATTATCCTTTACTGCGAAGGATAATGGCAGTCTGGCTTCCCAAGAGATTTATTTCAGTAGTGAATGCTGGTGATTTCACAATGTCTTAAGTCTATTTATTTCCCTGGTAGTTTGTTGGTATTGCAAATGATAAAGTCATAAACCTTGGGATCCATGTATGTATAGAACTGAACTCTCTCCATATCTCCTCAAAACATCCTGTGTTTTGTTTGCATTCTGTGCGTGCATGGAAGTTCTGTTTGTAGCTTTGGTCAAATCCATGGGGGAGCGGGTCTCAATATGTGTGATCTTGCTCCCTCTATGGGGGAGGGGATGGATTAATTCAGTTCTTATTTGAATGTGAATTTACTTAATCTTGCACTTTCGAACCAATCTGCAAATTCACAGTTATGCTTGCAAATTTTCATGTCTCCAAATTTTGCAACTGTGTTTTCCAATCAAAAACTTGTATACTTGGGTACTGCACAGGAACATGCATGTAAGTTTGCATATGGATGATGGCCCTTTTCAACTCAGAGTTCAAGACAAATCGAACTTATGACTGGAAAAATGAAAAATGACAGGAAATCGAAATTTACACATTTGTCTATCCGTAGCTCTCTACTGCATGTGTGCACATCCAAGAATATGCTGTGTGCATAGGAATGAGTGGAAATGGCAGATCTTTCAGTGATATCTGGGTTGTTACCACACTTGGAGTATCCCAGTGTGCAGATCCGGTGAGGCTATTGTAGAACTAGAAAAAAATGCAAAAATGGGCCATCAGAATGATCAGGAGCCTGTAGTAGACCCCCCACAAGGAAAATACTGGCATTGTCCTCCTTGCTATGAAGATGCTATATCTTTCAACTCTGCACTACTCCATGGTTGACAATAACAACCCTAAGATTTACATATGATGATGTTGCTACTAGATCTTACTTCTGCTTGTCACTGAGATCTGCTGTGGAAAACTTCCTTTGAAAGAACCATACTGTGCCTTTCAGCTATGCAGGTCATCTAATTAACTGAGATCCATGTTCCTCCTGGCACATTTTCTCAGAAGTGACTCACAGTAAGGTGGCCCTGGACCACAGCTGTATATTCCATAAACACATGCAATGCTTAAATGCAACACCACTTGGTATGCAAGTTGGCTGTTGTTTGTCTTCACAGCACTGCAGCCCTTGCGATCCGAGCGCTACCTGCATCTCAATGAACAGCCATGCTCCACAGACAGGGAGTCTGATTGATTCCCTCCACCCCTTCTCCCTAATTGTGCCCAGACAGCATCTTTTAATCTCCAGACTGAGATTCAGCGACAGCAGACGTGGCAGTGTGAGCTAGGATATGGCACTATTGGAAGGGCAATATTTCCCCCATTTTTCTTTTCTCCTAAAACCAAAGCCTTGCACTCTTTTGTTTGGTCTGTGCGAGTCTTTTTGAGCAAAGCAGAAATCTTGCAGCCAATTGGAGAAAGCAAAGAAGGATCCTGAATGCCATTACAGAAGCACCTCTTCCACTGAACTTTGATCAGTGACTGTGGCTGCCATCATATGCACGGTTACTTGGGAGTATGACTTAGGAATCTAGTATGATGTACTGCTGAATAGATAGGCATACAATTAAGTTGGTGACAACACATCCTTAAAATAACCTTCTGTGGTTCTTAGTTCTTGTTCCAATAGAGTCTTACAACTCCCAGCATTCACCTGGAATTTTTGCACTTTTTCCTGTGTGTCTATGCATAGGACTATTCTTTTGGTTATTGTGTTTGTTAGATTTTTATGCCTTTCTCCTGGGAACACAGGCCAGCACATACATTTCTCCCTACCATTTTATCTTCAAAATGACCTTATAAAAGGCACAAAGATGAGAACAGTTGGCCTAATGACATACCAAGCATTTCATTGCCAGAGCTGGGAATGGAATCTTGCTGTCCCAGATCCTAAGTTCTGAATTCTAACCATCACACCATGGTTGGTTGGCTTACTTATCTGTCTGTGCTAGCTTCAGCCATGCAAAGAACAATAATTTATGAAGCATCAAAAAAGAGAACACCTGTTTGCATAAAGGTTGCATATGCTAATTTATGTGTAGAGATGCAGATTTTGAGATTATTCTCACCATCGTGTGGAAGAGTGTGATTACATGGTCTGAGTGTCTGCCTGTTCAGCCTGCTGTGCAGGTGTCACTGTTGATGGACAACAGTTTTTATGGTTCTTTACTTAAAACCGGCCAGGGCAGCCCTTCAAACAGGGCAACCTCATGGTCCCAGCTGCCATCCTGCCCCTGGGATTGTCTTCAGAGGAGGAATGGTTTGGAACTTTATTTTCCCTAACATGCATGACTGTGGATTTTGTTGTTGGTTGGAGAGCTCCATTGCAAAGTTCATAGAAGAGCATATTTCAAAAGATAACTGTGTTCTGTTTTGCCCAGTGGTTCAAAAGTTTGACCCTGGATGCATTCACATTCAAATATGAACTCAAGACATTTCTCCACTCTCCTAGTGGATTCTGTGTCTAGAACTAACTAGTCAGATATTGGGACTAGCCAGGTATTCTGTCATCTTCTCCTGAGCAATATGGTTGGTTGTTGTTGAACCCTTTTGGCTGGATGTCTTCTCAGGAATAACCTGACACAGGTCCTGATGGAGATAAGCATCCCTCTTCTGTGGATCTTGCACTGTTAATAGAGCCTCTTGATATGCTAACTAAAGTCCCTTTCTCCACTTTGCTTTGGCTCCTCCCACAGCTGTGTTTCCACTTATCTCTTGGGAAATTTCAGCCATCTGGCATTTCTCTTGCTTTTGTGCAGTGCAGCTGCCTGATCAAAATAAAACTCAACAAAAATACCCTGTTGCTTTGTCTCCACAACAGTTATGCCTTTGTGTCTGGGAAGAGGAATAACATTGGCTATTCTCTCTGTACTTTGTCTTCCAATTAAAAAAAATCCCTTGGGGTGCTCACTCCACATTGAAAGAAGTGATTGATTATATATATCAATGAAAATATCAGCCCATCTACACCGCAATGCAGGCAGTTAATGCAACCTGCCACTCCTTTGCTTCACTGTGAAACTAAAGGAGACAGAAGGACCAGAATGTGAGAGTTAATGTACCTGTTAGTACAGAGGGGCCTCAAGGGAGCTCCTCTGGGGTGGGGGATCAATAGGAAAAGACAGAGGCTATGTTAGATGAAAGCCCTGTGCTTGAAACATTTGGTCACAGGGAGAAAAAGATCATAACCAGTCTAAATAAAGGGGAGACTATCCAAGAGATAATTAAGAGGTTTCACCTACACAATATACATTAAGAAGTAATTCCTCTTTGGTAAGTGACTGAGAATTGCTCCATTCAGTGCCCTTCTGTTCCATAGTACAGAGACAAAGGACCTTTCTGGATACACTGATATTTTCAGGAGCAATGCAGAAGTATAACTGAGACTGGACTAAAATTGCTCCATTAAGTATGTGGAAGAACTGCTGTTTTACTTCCTATTGATTTTATACTGTCCTTTCTCTAAGGGAGAGTATACAGGGTTTTTCTCTCCCCTTCCTCTACTTTTGTTCTCAGAGCACTTCTTGTTCTTTCCAGCTCCTCCTTCCCACCTTCCTGCCTGGCTCAACTACTGTTCTGCTTTTGATGGTTTTGATGCTGTGGCTAATAGTATCTGGTGTACTTTGTCCACTGAGGCAACAACATAGTCCCAGTTCAGAGACCACATAGGATCCTTATCATCCAGAACCAATTGGACTTGGTCTGTCCCAACACAGCTGACTCATTTGCTCCAGTTCTTGAAAACTCTGTAAAGTTTAAGTCCAGGCTGTTTGGAGAATCACTTGTACCCACACCTGCTTTGCTTTTTCCCCTATCAAGGTCTTCAGGGCATCAAAGGCTAAATTGCTGAACACACAAAATGGAAGCGTGTGTAGATTCTAGAACATTCTTCCTCAGAAAGGCTAATTTGGACTCTTGTCCCACAAATGTTTCAAAATCTGTGAAGACAGCTATTTTCAGGCTTTTGATAATTCATGAATTTC